TCCTCCTCCTCCTCCTCCTCGTCCTCGTCCTCCTGTTCCTCCTCCTCCTCCTTCTCCTCCTTCTTCTTCTTCCTCCTCCTCCTCCTTCTTCTTCCTTCTTCCTCCTCCTCCTCCTCCTTCCTTCTTCCTTCCTCCTTCTTCTTCTTCCTTCCTCCTCCTCCTCCTCCCCCTCCTCCTTCTTCTTTCTTTTTCTTCTGTTGTTGTTAGTAGGGTTTGAACTCTAGGCCTGGGTGCTGTCCTGAGCTCTTTTTCAGCTCAAGGCACTCTACCATGTGAGCCACAGCACCATTTCTGGTTTTCTGGTGGTTAATTGGAGTTAAGAGTCTCATGGACTTTCTTGCCAGGGCTAGCTTTGAACCTCAATCCTCAGATCTCAGCCTCCTGAGTAGCTAGTATTATAAGCATGGGCCATCAACGCCCCACCTTCCCTAAGCTTCTTTTACTTAAGGCTGGCACTCTACCACTTGAGCCACAGCACCATTTCCAGCTTTTTCTGTTTATGTGGTACTGAGAAATCGAACCCAGGTCTTCATGCATGCTAGGCAAGCAGTCTACCATTGAGCCACATTCCCAACCCATGGAAAACATTTCTTGTGAACTGGACACTAGCTTTTAGGGCAAAAGTATTCTAGGAAAGCTTATGAGGTTTGCCAGTAGACAGATAACAGTTATCTGCATTAGATGTAGAAGGAGCTGAACAATAACCAGGAAAAGAGTACCCAAAGCACAGGCTCTGGGTACGAGAAATGCTTTGAGCCTGAAGAGGACTTAGTGCCCCGGGATTTCACAGATGTCCATGGACTGCACATTGCATCAGAGGGGCCATGGCTGGACTTGAGTCTTCAGGTTATTGTAAATGAGGATAGAGTGGCAGATGCTATCCTAACAGCTCCGGTGGAAACCATCCCCTGAAAGGTTTTCCATGGGAGAGATGCAAGTTGGGCTTAGGAAGGAGATTCCCTGATGCCATCCTGGAGAATGGGCTGAGCAGCATTCCATACTTTCCTTTATCCGTTCTTGTTAACTCTCCTCTCCATGCCTATGTTCCTTTTATTTTTTTCCCCATAAGAGGTCAGAGGACAGAGCCTGGGAGCAAATGTCCTTGGAAAATGAGGAGGAGGTGATTGGTGACTAGGTGGAGACATCCAGCAAAGGTAAACAATTCAGAGGCCTTGGAAAAGTCAGTTCTCCCTGTGAGCCTCGGCTGTGTCATCTATTAAAGGAGGGTAGTAGGCATTACTTTTCTCCCCTCTCATTTCACTATGGATGGTTTACACATTCAGTTAGATTTTCCAGAAGAAAGCTCTCTGCCTTGTTTGCCACAAAATGATTTGTTGAGATCCTCAAGAGGCTACTGCAGCTGGTCCCCTGTGATGAGGTGATGAGGAAGCCTTGGCTTCAGATCTGTCTCCAGCCTCCTTCCCTGTTGCCCACAGTGGTCCTCCTTAGGGAAGAATGGGCACCTGCTGACTAAAGACTAGATATGTGCCTGGCCATAACCACAGAGAGCTTCTAGCATTGCTATTTGCTTAAACTACATTCTAAGCATTATGATAAGCACTTACCTGCTCCTTCATCTCATTTAGTTTAATCGTATGAAGTACCTACATATTATCTCCATTTCGTAAACAAGGAAACTGAGGCTCAAACTGATGAAACTACTTGCCCATGGTGACACAGAAAGAAGCAGAAGAGCTGGAATCTAGGTTCCATCTCTGCCATTTTACTAGTAATCTTTTTTTTTTTTTTTTTTTTT